TTATGTGAAATTAAATGGAAACGTCAGTTCTACTCATATCATTGTGGGAAAATTCTACTACCAGTCCTTTATCACCTTAAACCAAATAAGGTAAATACATCATATATAACCTAAATATTTTGACCGTAGAGAAAAAAATACAAGTAGTATATATCTAGTTAAACAAATAAAGATAATATGTAGTTAATAAAAACTTACAATTATAGGAATGTAGGGATAATTTATATGAGTCTTTGATGTATCGAAAACACTGCTGAACACGCCAATTAAAGGAAAGAATGCAGCGCCTGTGATCCGTTGCAAGAAAGGGTAAAAATAAACGTTGGAATAAGCAAAAGGAAGCAAAGCGATGCAAAATATAAAAAAGAATAAATAAAGACTTAGGATGCAACTCGAAAGGAATTTTTAATGGACAGGTACAAATCCCTTTTAGTTTAAGCGTTGTAAAAGGCGTGCTTGCCTTCTCAGTAACCTGAAAAAATAAAATAGTCTTAATAAAAATATGAAGCCTATACACATAAATGAACTTAACCATTAGCAAAGGACGAATAAAATTTTCCTGATAAAAGTCAAATTGTGTTAAAACTACTAGCACAGCTAAATTTAGGCAAAAATATTGGTTATATCTCGGCCAATCAAGTCTTGTAAAATAGGGCTTTCCAGGCTTATTTAACGAGAAGCGTACTCTTCCGTGGAATCTTAATGCACTTTGCAGTGATTAATGATGCATAGATAATAGAAACAATTAAATTTGTAGGGGCAACAAAATCAGCTCTAGCCATAACAAGACGATTGACCATATGAAACGGGGATGATAAGATGAGTTAGGCCAGGCTTCAGCACCATGCTGGATTTACTAATTTATCTGTGCTTTAAAAAAATAGAGAATGAACTTAGTGGGTAAAGTAAATAAACTTGCTTTTCATATCTAGGATTAGCAAATGTAATATAGGATTAAGTTTAAAGTATTTTCGAAATAATACATTTGGAACCACTATTCCGTAAATTGGAATGGATAATAAAAGAGAATTGAAGTTCTCTAAAAATTCAAAAAAACATGATTAAGAAATATAGTATTTACTTCACATAGTATGACTAATATTGCACATTTTGACTTATGGGATAAATATTGTATGGGTTTAGATATTTAAAATTAATTTTGTTTAATAGATAATCAAGCCAGAAGCTCAAGGTGTCGTTTATTTACCAGAAGTTGACAATTAGTAGAGGAAAAAAAGATTAAGTAAATAAGGATTAAAATAGAAATTTAGAAATATATAAGGGTGAAAGCTATAGAAAAGAGTGCATACCATCAACAAAGGAGCAAAGCATGCAGAAAAGTTATATATAAAGCCTTCCATCGGAGGGAAGCAACGAAAATATTTTTTGTGAATGTACAAGTGCCATATGAATAGGACTATGAGCAGGGAAAGACTTACGATGACGATCGATGAATTAATTGGCGAATCAGACTTGAAGTTTCGTAAAGGTAACGCAGCTAAACAAAACAATGTTAAATCTAGAAAATATTCATCAAGACACAGACTAAGGATGAAAATTCATAATTATAGGATGACCAGTAAGTAGGAAGGTAAGAACTCCCAGAGCAGTATATAAAATACAGAATGGAGAAGGTTTAACTAAAGTAAAGCAATCATCAAGGTTTGACTGTAGAGACAATATTGATAGCTTATCAAAGAAAGCACGAGATTAAGCCATAGAATTGGAACAATGGTCAATTGTAACAAAAACCAAATATGAAAGGCGGTTCATACATGATGCTTCGATGTACTGAAATCCATAAAAGTTATATTTATGTTTTTCACGTTGGTATAAGGAAGGATAGGTGGCGCCTTACCTAATAGAGATTCTAGAATTCGGAACTCTAGTTAATGGCAGTAATTATATTAATCAGAATAATGCTAATATTTAAAAATCAGTCAGTTATTTTCGATAAAAGGTAAGATAAAAATTAACAGATTGTCATTAAACTAAAGCAATAAAAAAGATTATAAAGTCTGTCAAACAAATAATAAAAAACGAAATGTGCGATTAAAGCAGACTTATAATTAAGCCAAAATTAGAAGGTATAAAGAAAGTAGCTAAAAATGTAATGGGAATGCAAAATGAAAACTCGAAGCTTACCAGTGAATCCAAGAACTACAAGCTTGCCGATGAACAAAACGAAATCACACACATTATCGACAACTAAAACCCTGAAAAATTCAAAATAATTTGTTATGAATACGTTTATCAAACTTTGCAAATGGATTAATGTATTATTATATTTTTCATTTGTAAGATATAATTTTCCAATTATTATTTTAATCAGATTAAAATAGAATATTTGTTTTGAAAGGAAGCTGGGTACAACAGTAGGAAGTTGCCGAACATGTGGCAAGCGAGTAGGTTTGCTGATTATATATCTGCTGTTAAAAGGAAGATAAGAGGTCATTGAAATTAATATAATTGGAAATAAGTTAAATGTAAGGAACTGTGGTAGAAAGTGGAATAATAAATATTTAAGCCTACTTAAATAGGAGAGGAGTTGAGCCACCATCCAAAAGAAAGTGACTTAACCTATCAATTCGAGGATGGTTTAAACCTGACTGACACTCGCCCTACAAATCAATTAAGCTCATCAACCAGATCAGATATACGATATTACGCAATTCTAGAACATGCCTTTCATTGGGTCACCGAGGTTTAATGACCTCAGACAACAGGTTACTACAAATGCCCGACTTTTATGCGTACAGACTGGCATCTCATTATCTTACGGACAAACACTGTCTCGATGAGGGGTTTGTCTTGGGTCATTTTTAATTTTTCTGCTTTAGGACTAGTATTATCTATAGGCATTAGCATACATACACAGACACACACTAAAATAAATTTGCCATAACCAATATGAAAGATAACTAGCTCAACTATTCTATGTCTATCTATACTTTAGCTGAGTATATATATAAGACGTAGTCTGGCAGTCTCATTTTCCTAATGTTAACTTAAGACTTTTGCAAGAATGAGTTCCAGCTCTGATGATTTCCACCATATGATGAACGAAAGCTCAGCTCGTTTTCACCTGAAATGATGGAGGATGCATCATAGACTGCGCCAACCCGAACGTCATATTAAAGCCTAGCGGCGGCAGTACAATGGGAATCAGTAGTCGCCTTCTAGTGAGGTTGACCTTCAGATTTTCTTCATCATGCACTTTCATATAAAATGTAAATCTCCTCAACAATATTATCATAGGAGCTTCATTGAAACCTAGTTATGATTCGTATCTAGTAATAGTTGTTTGAAATATGTACTAAAATAGTATCGAGCTGAGCGCTCACCATAAGTCATGCTTGAGGTCTTAATAATGCCTTATAATACCCTAAATTAGAATAAACAGAATATTTGTATCAAGAGGATTATGAAAAGGCAGTTTGCGAGAACCTAGATTCAGCATGTTAGTGATATCCAACAATAAAATCATTAAGTGATTGATGAAACGTATTCAGAATATGTCATTCTGTGACTACAATATAGTGCAGTAAACTAGGTGTGTGAAGTGATAAATAAAACCGAATATTGAACATTAAAAAAAATTACCTGATAAAATTTCCAGCAATAAGGGATAAGGCCTCTCTGGCAGAGGATAAAAAGTTTCTTCCATAAATTGCTATCTAAACAGAATATACATTAAGAAATCATCAGATTAATATACAGAAGTGCAAAAAAATCAAAACATTCATTTAATAAACTTATAGCAAAATTTAAGGTAAGAATGATTTTGTTCTATAATAGAATTTTGAAAGGGAAAAAAATTTCGTCACGATCAGCTTAATCAATCTGGCTTTTCAACTTTTGAATCCCGAGCTAATGACAACTTATTTTTAATTACACTGGCCATTAGTTGTGAAAATATACTGAGTTTCCCAACCAATTAAAAAATTTAGTCGTTATGAAAACGTACCAAAATGTAAGCGTTCCTGTTAAGGAAACGCAGGAACTTTTCAAGGCACCAAAAACAACAAGCAAAGCACTTGAGAAAAAAGCGAGCAACCGCATTATCGGCAGATTTAAGCTTGGACTGAAGCCACTGGAGAAGTATTCGAATCAACTTTAGCATTGCAATAATAAGAGAACCAAATGCAAGAGAGCCGATGTGGTAGCGCAACGAGTGCCAGAAGCTAAGCGCTAAGGGAAAAGCAGGCATGGAGTTGCGC